CTTCCGCAGACCAGGCAGGGGGAGGGCGTGTCTTCTGTCTGCGGGATTCTTTTTCAATCGGCGCAAATGCCTGTCCGTGCAATGGGAGCTACCGGCACAATCGGTGAAGCAACACGATAGCGAAGCTAATAAGTGTTGAAGCACCTAAGAGCTAAGTTGTATTATGCTGGCGATGTTGTGTTTGGCTTGGAATGGAAAATTGTTACGGATTCAATTGAAGCAGAAAAAAGACACGACGCTGCATACGAGAATCGTCGAGGCAGAGACGCAAGCGATTCGAGTGGGAAAGGCGTGATGCAAGAGTGTCGACCGAGCAACCACGGAAAGGAAGCTTATAAGGTGAGATGGGCGGGCAGTGACGTGTGGGGGGAGAGGAGCTTCGATCTACTTGCTCTTAAGGTAAGCTGGGAGCTGGGGGGTAAAAAAACAACACGAAAACGACAAAAACAAAGTACAGCTGCTCCGCGATTGGCAGAGACGGTACCTCTTGCGTGTCTCAAAATGCCAAACGAAGGAGGTGTAGCTTCATGCGTCTTGTGCTGCCGGAGTTCTCGGCACTTGTTGAGGGCTTGCATGACGTTTTGCATCCGGGCGTCGATCAAAAGTGTCAGTGTGAAGCTTGTTTTTGCCTGTGACTGCTGGCTGCATTTTGCTTTTGGCAGAGAGTTATGTTTGGGAGAGTCTAAAAATGCCCTTTAAAACACCCTGACGTCACACTCGTTTCAAGCGAGACAGCCCAGCAAAAAGCATCCTTCATCACAAAGATAAAAAAAATTAAAAATAAAATACAGCCACCAGTTATTGTCTCAAATCTTCACCTGTTGTGACACAATTGTCTTGTCTGCCGCATTGTCGCAAAAAAGCTGTTCTGGTGCTGTTGCGTGTGCGGATTGGCTTCATTGGCTGCAGCTAGACCCTACATGAGACAGATCTCCCTGGTTGGGAATAGTCGCGCGGCTGCTCGTTGGCCAGGGACAAATCCATGTCGTCATCGCCATCATTGGTCGGGAAGCTTTTCCACGCCCGAAACGGATCCAGCTGAGCACTTTGGCGAATAAACTGCCGACGTTATGTGATGCGAAGGGAATGTTGGAGGTGAAGCGCGTTCTCGTGTTCGTATCCTCATCCGTCTTCTTGTTTCAGAACGTTGTTTACGTGTATTGGGCACAGCATGTGAACAAATGCGAATGGCCAATCATTGCACCGCTCCGATCAGCCCATGAGACCATTTCATACAACCTCAGCTGAGCCAGAAGTAAGATACAACTGCCAATCAGAGCAGAAGGATGCCAAGAGGAAGAACAAATTGTGAAGTCTAGCAGAGTAATCCGGATAAACAGTCCTCCGTTATGGATCTCATGAATGTTTCTCAATAAGATGAACTCCGGCTAGCCTCGCTTGTCCTCCGCCGGCCCCGAGCTCCGAGTTCCGGGGACTTAACCGGAGCTCTTCGGTGGTCTTCGGACATAAACGGGGTCATCCACAGTTGAATAGCCTTATCAAAAGGAAGCTGTGGCAACGTCTGTGCTCGTTTTAATAGAACTCTATCACAGTGGTATTTATGCCAGAATCCTCATCCTCATCCAACCCAAAACCAGTTACATCCCCGTCAAAGAGGCACACAACAGCCTGAACTCGCCGAAGAATCCCCAATTTTCTCCATACCGGCCCTACAAACGGAAGAAAGGAAGAAAGAATGTTTCAGGTAACTTTACTGGAACTTTGTCATCGCTTCCCTCGCCGTCATGACGACGCAACCCCAAAAGGTCCCCGAGGGCAAGGTCCCCACAAGGCTTCGTAAAATGACATTGCGCGATGGCTACTGTGGCTGAAGAACACTGAAACTCTGCTCAACCGTCTGCTTGATTCTTCGAGGCCCACCGAGGCCATGCTCTCTGAATCAAGCAGCTACTTTCCCGGCCTTTGGGCAACGGGTAAAGTTGCCGGTCCCACGTGGTGGCTAGGGTTTCGTGGCTTTTTTTTTTCTGCCTTTCATTCATGAGCCACCTTCAGCTTGGGACAAGCCCCATTGATGATAAAGAGTTTGGGCTGTTGCGTGGAATCAAGGTGGTCGCGTGCGTGTCCCACCATCTCCGGTTGGCGGACCACCAGCCATATGATGGCTGGAAAAGCTTGTCACCCATCTTTATGTGCGTATATTCCATCCACGTCACGTAGATGAGGATGGGATTCATGTGGTGGATGACATATCATCTCTCCCAAGATATCTTGGCAGATTCCCGAAGATCCGATCGCGTACCCGCCACGTTGCTGATATCCGGTTACGTGGTTTACCAGACTCCTGGAGCGATGCTAAGAACCAGTATTCTGGGTCAGATATTCTGGTGAGAATATCGGAGTTCCGCAGTTAATGGGGGAAACTAAGAAATCCTGGCGCTTGACAATGTCGTTGCCTTGCTCTCCTCTCCGTTGTCGGTAGCTAGACAAACGTTTCAATCAAGTGTCAAAGCTATCAAGTACAAGTAGGACTTGTCTTAGCAGGAAGCTCTCTTCAATTCGGTAAGCAATCTCTCATAGCTTCTTTCATACACCGGGAGTTGCCACATCTCGTTTGTTGTAAAAAGTTTGGAACTGTGTACCAACGCTGCCTTCTCGTGCTTGGTAATGTACGAAGAGAACCATTAGCCCAAACCCTATCTCTCGCTGAAACAAAAGACTAGATTTTGATTCCGATATGCGGCGTCGCCCTGGATGCTACGTGATTCGTCTATTCATAATAAAGTTGACTCGCAAAAAGTTGCAAGTAGAAGCTACATTGAACAATAATATGCCAATGCCACCCATGAGGCTGAATGAAAGGTTATTTCCTTTCTTCCGAGACCTCCGTTCTATTTACAACTTCCCAAATTAGCAAAAAACGTGTTGCGTCTCTCTTAGTTATTCCCTTGGCAGCCGCTGAACGAAAGTACAGTTCTCTCAACGTGTTGGCTAGCAATTAGTGCAAACTCTCTCTCTTCAGGTAGGGCGAAGTTTATGCCGCAGACAGTCGGCGAATAGTGGCAACGAGTTTGCCGCAGCGTAGAAATAGCCGCGTGTTAAAAGGGAGAGTGAAATGCATTTCTCCGCCCAGGCGCGCCTCCAAAGCTTGCGAATCGGAGATATGGCGGGAACTTCTCCCAACGTGGAAGTGGCACCGAATATCCGCAAATTTCCAAGCGACACTAGATGATTCAGTTCTTTAGTTGGTGGAGGTTGATAGAGAGGCCGATGGTTGATCGAGATGCCGATGCGCGTGAGGGCATTGAGCTGTGGCATTGGGGATAAGTTGTGCATCTAAGACTTGGGACGTGTAGAAAGGGCAGGAAATATTTCCTGAACATGTACAGAAAGGGTAAACAGCATGAAATAGAATAGGATGAAATGTGTAGCGGTGAGATGGTACGTGTTCTGTGCAATTTGTAGGAGGATTGGAGACGACCCGTCTTATACGTCTTGAGTAATAATCACACTTCTTATTCCAAGCTCAACTCCAAATATTGTCATCTACACTACGACAAAACCAGTCCTGTAGTGCCAAGTCGTAATGTAAGACACTTAGACCGTGCTATCCTTATTCAAGGAAAGGCTTCTGTGTAGAGGAACAAGTATATGAAGCAACAAGACAAGACAAGTCAAGTTCAAACCACCCGAGCATTCACAGTGGTATCACTCAAGCGGCGAAGAAGAAGATATAAGGTAAGATGTATCAATTGAAAGTAAAAAATAAAATCAAAAGTCTATAGGTCCTTCGCTGGTATCTATGTAAAGGAAATTCGTAACAGCATCAAGCTATATTGTAAACACCAATCCAATCTTTTTTGAACACCCGTTCAACCAAACCTTCCACCTTTATCCACATAATCCACACTGCATCGAGCGGGAAATCCTTCCAAACATCCAAGATAGATAGTCATGAAATATCATGTCCATCAGGGAATGGTCTCGACTTTCGCCATGTAAGCAAGGCTAGGCACCTTAGCTTCCGGAGGCTCGCCTTTAGTGTTAGCGATGCTGCTAATCGGCCATCATCCGAAGGAGCGAAGGAGAAGCAGCGAGATCGCCTCGACATGTGAGATTGTACTAAATCTCCATCTCGTATGCAAAGGTCCTGGGGCTAGCCAGGAGATTCAGGTCCCCGAACAGGCGGCGCCGGGTAAAGTCGAGTTTCCCATCTTGGATGTTTTGCTGACGCTTGGCTGTATAGGCGACCCTAAAGGCCCTAACCTTTAGGGGCGGAGGCAGCGCCAGGGGCAACAAGGTCGTCCGACTCTTTAGCGGGCTTATGTGGTTCATATCGCCCTTTGTGGGACCCGCCTTTCAGCGATCGCACAAATGACGAAAAGGAAAAAGTGGTTTCTGTAAATGAAGAAGAAAAAAAAGGGGGGGAGATAGTGAAGAAGAAATTGGGTAGTGCATATGTGCGTGCCAATTGGCGGTTTGAGACATTGCTCAGAAGTTGCTTGCATATGCATTGCGAGGTAAGGATGGAAGTGTAGCGTGAAAGTCATGAGTTTTTTCTCACAGGAAAAAATTCTTGTGAGTTGACAAGTTGATAGTGGCAGGTGTAAAAAGGCTGCCACGTTCCGTAACTTTTTTTGGTCATGGTATCATGATGATAGTAAAATGTTTGTTGTAATGGTGAATGTAATGGTGAATATGCTGGTAGGAAGCCCTGCTCACAGCCGCATTGGTGCGGGTGGTGTTGCAGGATCTTCTCCTCCAGGTGGGTGACCGAACTCTTTTTTGGGAGATTTTTTGTTTTCCTTCGTCGTGTGCTTTCGTTTTTCCGTGTATGTTATGGAGAGGGCGGCCGTCCCATGAAGAGCGCAAGGTGTGATCCAAAGGATCGACCAGTGTGGTGGCTCAATGGAGCAAAGCGTGGTGATGGGATGTGAAAAAAAAAAAAAAGTTTGAATGAGGGGAGAGAGACAATGATATCACACGCTTCTGCATTGAGGGCGGATGATCGCCTGTTTGGGGCAATGGCCAATTGCTCATGCCCTGGTGTGATCCCAGTATCGCTTGCGCGCCTTGACGGCTGTCTTGTCGCCCTGGAAGCGGTGCTGGAAGAAGTTGAAGACGGCAAACTCATCGCGGGTCATGACATAGGAGTCGGGCTGGGCCTGGACCTTGCCCCAGATCTGTGACAGAGCCAACTCCAAGATCTTGCTGACGGTGGGATCTGAAGCACCATCGGGGCTTTCCCTGGCAATCTCGAGGGCCTGGGCAACGGCAGCATCCTGCTGGGCCTGGTGCTGCTGGGCAGCGGCGGCCTTGGAAGCGTGGTGGTGATGGGAGTGACGATTGCTCATGCTGGCGTAGCCGAGCGAGACGTCAGGCTGGCGGTGAGGCATGGGGCGGATGGGAGAGTGGTTGAGGTGCTGCTGGTACTGGATCTCAGAGGGATAGACAGACAGCATCGTACTTGGTAACTGAGCGGTGGTGGTCGGGGCGATGGTCATATATGCGTGGGCGTGTACGAGCAACTTGGGGAGGAGCTTGTACGAGTGGGTGTCGGATGGAATGGCGTGCGTCAGTGACCGGGGTATGGGTATGGCGTATATATACACGCACTTGTCCGGGGTAGCGTATATATAGAAACAAAAGCAAGCAAGGCAAATTACTCGAGGCGTCCAAGTAATAACCTAGGTCTGCATATAGTACAAGTGCAAGTACTCGTAGTAGTACAGCACTACCAAAACCAATATATGCGGTGGAGAGTGGGCGGGAGTATCGATCCACGATCAGGCTCTGCCAGGAAGGGGGATCCTTGCTCTTCACACACACTCCCAGCAGGCTTGACGGCTTGGCGTACGGTCCGTGTGTGGGGGCCAAGAAGCGGGTGTGAGCTTGAGTTCTCTCGTGCGTCTAGAGTCTGCCTGTAGTGTCCCAAGAGGGGGTTCTCAGCGAGACGCAGCCGCTCTTCTGGGCAATCTGACACTCGTGGGGACAGGGGGGTTCCCTGCTGGCCAGGGCGTAGCGGTATCAAAAGCAGTACAGTACAGTAGACCAGGCGCAAGTCGGCCGTGTCAGGTTCGGGACGCTGGCAAGAGAGTTAACCGTCGACGTTTAGACCGGGCTTGGTTGTATATCAGTCGAGAGGGAAAGTCTCTTTTGCGGTGGACACGTGCGAGATGTTGGGGGAGAAGTAAAAAAGAAGAGAAAGAAAAAAAGCCAAGAAGGACGTCCCAGAAACCCGGCAGCGAAGGATAATTATAGTTATAGTTATTCGACCGACCCGGCGTGCTGGGAGAATGAAACAACGTTTGTTCGGGTTTCCCATCAAGACGCAAAAAGCTTGACTAGCGCCAATTTCAATGGAAAAGGCAAAAAGCACACGCACGGAGCTGAGACATTCGCGTTGCCTGTTTGCCCAATCGAGCATGTCCCGCGCCAGCCCGTTTGCCGCCCAGGCTAAAACGCCTCCGAAGCAGGAGAGACACAGTTTGCAGCGTGGCAGAACAAAGGGAAAAAAAAGAAGTGACAAGAAACTGGCATAATTGGTAATCAAGCGGGACCCGAAGTTCCGGGACTCTTCGCCGCCGTGGGAAAAGTTAAAGATACGAAGTATGGGGTCAAACGTTCCACTGGTACAAACGGCGCTGCGAAGTCGGTACGGTACTGGTGACATTGGCGGAGGCGTTTGCTGGCCATGCGAGCGCCGACACTAGTCCGTTGGCCGTGACCGTGACGGTTTAGTCAGGCCGAAGTACGAAATACATGGCCAAAAGTCTAAAGAAGGAAACCGAAAATGCTTGACACGACACGACGCAGAAGCCCACAAAATGCCCACAAAACATTAGATGGCAATGGCAAAATGGAAAATTTTAGAATAGGAGAAAGAAGGAAAAAAGAAGATGATGATGAAATTACAATTCGTCCGAGCAGTCTCGGACCTTGCCATTGCCTTCAAGCAGAGTTTGCTGCCCAATTCCGATGGCGATGGGATGGGCCTGAGCGGAACTATACGCACACGCACACACACGCCCAGAGACATGCTTTCAAGAGGCCAAAAGTCAGAAATGCCGCTGTGCGCAAGAAGAAGCACGGAGTACCGAGCACACACAGAAACCCAGTTTTTGAGTCAACCATCCCGAAGCCAGAACAACGTGAGGGATGTCCACTTGGAACGCCCTTTTTAGCGCATGGCACCATGACACGGTGGCTGCTGTTCAGTCCCTGATGGGCAGCGACTTCGTTCGGGTCCTGATGCGCTCTGGGAGTCTGGGAGTCTGGAAGTCTGGGCTACTGTGGGCTGCGGCTCCGTGGCATTCGGCGATAATTCCACCTAGCCGGATAGGCAGTACGGAGAACCGGACTTGAAGGTTTGGGACTTAAGACGTGGACAGTGGACACAGAGACGGACAGCCTCGTTCAGAGTTGCTGATTACATACATACAGGCAAAACCTACAAGCCTACACCGCCTTGTTTGGGGTGGCACCCAGACGATCCGGCTTGTGTTTTGTAGAACCATCTCGTGTGTGTCTGGTGTGTGCTGTGTGCTGTGTGCTGTGTGCTGCATGTTAGTCGTGCCCTGCTGTGTGCCCTGCTGTGCTGTGCTCAATGCAATACTGTTGAACTCTACTTCGTACTTACCACTGTGTTACTGTACGAGTACGTATACTGCGCAAAATAATCATCATTCAATGATAACAATCATCATCATAGTAAAAAGGGATCAACTTGGCCCGAGTCCCCTCAGTCCCCTCAGTCCCCACGCAAATCTCGATTCACCTAGCAATAACAGGCAGCCGCCAAAAGGTTTCTGTTTCTCACACGAACTTGCCCTTGGGGCGAAGCTACTCAGCCGCTTGGGCTCAATCTTGTGCCTGCAATCAAATCAAATCAGATCAATCTGAGTTTTTTTTTTTTTTTTGCTGGCGACTCAAGTGCTGTGTGTCAAGCAAACCCCCACACGCCATAAACTGACTTTGGCACCATCTGGGTCCCTGTCCAGCCCAGCCTCAACGCGGGCCAGGCGGTCAAGGGCACGTCACCGGTGTGCTGGAGGAAGTGCGGAATTCGCAGTGGTGCGTGTGCTGTGCTGTGCTTCTACACGCCTCCAGGGCTTTTTTCCTCCGTCCCTTGTCCGTTCTGTTTCTCGTCCGTCTGGGCTCGTCCGTTTGTGCTTCTGGTTGATCTTGTATATCCGTATCCGACCGGCATTTCACTGCTTAACTCTCTTTTCTTTTTGGCCGGCCGGGCTGCCAAACCAAACTCAATGCCTACAGTAATACCCAGCCTCTTGAGCGAGTAATGCGCACGCGCCGCTCTTCCTCTACCCCAAGAATACGAACAATACAGCCCGAAATGGTGAAACGCGCTACTATTTTGGGACGAACCTTCAAACCCATCCCCCATCTCGAGGGAATGCCAGCTCCAACCGTTTTGTGCTCCTTTGCCTTTGTGCAGCAATTACACTTTCTGCTCGATTCCATTCCAACATCGCGTGCCCACGAGGCTCGACCCTCTCTCTCCACATGACAGGCGCCCCCAAATCTTCCATTGGGACGCGCCAGCTCAGCTAGACAAAGTGGGCATTGCAACGACACCGTTGAAGTGTAAACCGTGCTTTTCGCAAGCCAATATATCAGAATCTTAAATTGGATATCCCACTTGGCTTTCCGACCCCATTCTATCACAAACAGCCTCGTGCCCATTCTTAATTTTTATGTTTTTTTGTTTTTCAGCTCGGCCTTATGCTTGTTATTCATACTTCGGGCATTCATGCTTACTGTCTGATTCACTACACGCTTTCTCATGGGCTGTGAATACGCGCCGGGTGGAGAGAGGCTGCAGCGCCGCGAGCAGGCCTGATCAGCCTCCTTCACGCCTCATCTTCGGTAACAATAACACCGTCTGGGACAGATGAATTGAAACGCCGACACTACCAGCAGCCGGTGGAACTACTGGACGGCACTCGGATTATAGAGCGGCGTTTGGAAATTGGAAGCCTCAGCGAGCCAACCGTTGGCTCACCCCTTAGCCCAGCAGGCTGTCTGATGCAAAAAGTTTAATTCCTTTAGGCGTTTATTCAACCACCACCTACCATTTTCTCTAACCGCGCATTTTCTTTCCCTACCGCGCGCGTGCATTAGCAATTCCTTCGATAAGAAGACCTCGCGGGTTCGTTAACAAGATTACTTGCTTTGGATAGTTTATGCGAGTAGGAGATCCACGAGTAATGCCTCCCGTCGTCTAGCCTGTTCCCTGACGCTTCGATGAGCGTGTCTCTGATCCGTCCTTGAAATCGAAATCGAAGATGCGGCACTCGCTCAATCAGCTAACGGGGACCATCGGCGAAAGTCGGTGCCAATTCCCCTGACCGACAGTCTCGAACCATTGCTCTACTCCCTACATGGCCTAGGATAGAATGTCGAGGAATCCTGATGCTCGTCTGCTACTATTATATGCTTCGTATTTGACAGGCACCGCTAATAATAGGATGCAGTCAGCCAGCTTAGACAAACAGAAATCCCTACAATCTTACGTATAACAATAACATCAACAGATCCAAATATAAACCCAAACCAACGTCAACGTCAACGACAGACTTTGGATGCCCCAAGGTATCTCATCTCGCCCGGTCCCTGTACTCGTACGCCCTGGGTGGATCGTTTACGGTGTGTCGTGACTCCCCACGATCGTCGTGGAGCATAACAGCAGCCCACATGCACTAAACAGCGAATAATGACACATAAACATCCAAGTTGCTTGCTGGCAGAGCCTCTGCTCCTGTTTTAGGGCCCCACTGGAGATGCTAGTGGGCCAGATTCGATGTTCTGCACTCTTTAGATGACGCCGAGGGCAGATGCGAATTGCCTAATACGGCCCTTGCACTGACTCGTCATGTACGTACCCCAGGCCTTACTATCCATGTGCCGAACAGCGCCTTGAGCGCCCTATGTCGGAATACCTACCCCAAACAAGATTCTCTTACTCTGTCACGCCTTTCCTGAAAGAAAGACCGGACAGTCGCAAGTGTGCAGCAGCGGCGGTGGTGGGGGGTTCTCCAACTTGGGGGGGCTGGAAGGACGGAACCTTAGAAGTCAACTTTGGACGGAATTACATGGATGACGGAGTTCCGCACAACGGAAGGTCGAAATTACGGCAAGCCATGACAACATGAATGTCATTCCGTTGGCTCGTTAGAGGCCGCTGTCAGGTAACGCATTAATTCACTTCATTTACCGCTATTTCGTGCCGGTTCGTTGCACGGTGGGGGCCCTCGAGCGTGAAGCATAATCAGACCGTGTTACAGACAATGGTAGTGGTAAAACTTGCCCATGAACGAACATGGCTCTTCGGCAATCCACCCCGAGGTGCCCGTCGTTCTGCATCTTGCGCGCCCAGACATACAAAGTCCCAGAAAGCATGGGGATCGGTCACAATTGCCGGCATGACATAAGTGCTCCCTATTGGTGGAGGTTGGGCGCTGAAGGCTGAAGGCATCAGCACCTATTTGCTAATTCGTTGGTTCTCCACAATCGCGAGACTATTGAGAGAGAGAGATGATATACTTGTAACTGCCAGCGGGCGACTCTGATGCGCAACGACTCATGCTGCAGCAGCGTCATGATCAACGGCACTGTGACAAGAAAGTGTATCCTTGTGTGTCGCATCAGAACAAAGAGGAGGGGGGGAGAGGGGGAAAGGGATTCGGGAAGGGATTCACTCAATGGCTAAAAACCTCCCAAGCACAAAACAAAAAAGAACCGCCGCGAATCACACACTCTGGAATACCGCATGTTCTGTATACGTCCACATGCGTTTTCTTCGTTGCCTTTGGATATACTATCAACCACCCGCTGGCCCGCAGTCCACGCTTTCGTTCCCACGCTCGTCCAGTAAGCATTTCCAAAGACGGCAAAGGTAGCGGCGCTAGAGAACTGGCCATGCATGTCAGAGTCGAACCATGGCCCGGCTTCCAAGAGATTCCCGCGTAGCTCCCCCATACCAAGACGCCCCGCCGAGTCCCGGAACCCGAGTATCTGGGAAGAGCCTTTTAATTTCTTTTTTTTTTTTTTCTTTTTTTTTTTTTCTCTTTTTTCCGTTTTTCCCTTCTGTGGGCGTGTGTGTGCTGGCTCGAGACCACCTTTTTTCTTATATCTGATCCCTTTTCTGGGGCCCAATTCTTGTCAAGATATCAGCCTTGAGCGTTTACCTCCAAGGGTTACCGCTCAAAAACAGCCGATATCACAAAAGGGCCTGCGTGGGGAGACAGAGTGTGGCTACACAAAACGACCTGTTTCTTACACAAGGAGACCAGGATGACGATGACGTTTTGATGCATGATACAAGTTGCTGGTCTGGTCTAGCTAGCACGGGCGGGTAGTTCCAAGGAAGGGCTGCCGTGCGCATATCGTTGCATGGCTGCACTGCACACTGACGGAATCTCCCAGAGCAAAAAGAACTCAACGCTCGCATTTTCCCACCCCAAGTCACATCACACTAGGACAAGCGCAGGTCCTTTAGCATCGAGTACCTACGCCGCATTGAGATGGTAGGTAGGTACCCAGGTCTGTTTTGCCGTATGTATGTGCGAGTATGTATGTATATGCAATGCACGACTAAATAGTTTTGGCCCTCGTTTTCCGCCCAGTCGCCGAGAAAGAGAGGGAGAGAGGGGTGTGTACGTGTGTGTGCGAGGAATATAGGCGAGCACGTGTACCTATAGTGTCGTTGGGAGGAAACAGAAAAAAAACGAGCAGCATCAAATCACATTGCCTCGTTCATTCAGCCAAGCGAGCAGAAGCAGCAAAGATCCTTCATACTGTACACGTAAACACGGCAAGGCGAGCAAGGACGGGATCAAAAGGTCCTCTGCCGTCCAACAAAGGGCCGTGGGCCCTTGTCGTATGTTTTTTATTTTTTTTACTGGGCACTCGGGAAAAAAGAGAAAACACACCACCAACGAGAAAGGGAAAAAGAAGAGTGCAGTGCGGTCTCCTTTTTTCGCTATGCGCGATCCCTCACCGAGCCAGGATAGGCATATGCAAACCGCAACTCTAAAACGAAAAAGAGGCGTGACCCTTTCGGAACGGGTCCCTTGTTTTTTTCTTCCTTTCCCTTTTCTTCCCTTTCCCTTTTTTCTTCTTCTTTCCGGGGTTATTTTGTCTTGCTACGCCTTTTTTGCTCCGGTATAGGATAGATAGATAGTACGTAGGCGCTAAACTCGGCTCTCGGGGCCCCAAGCTCCTTCGATGGTTCTGGCATCTAGAACCTGTCCAAGGAAAGGTGCCATGGTTTGGGGCTGGATGGATTTAGCCATGCTCATGTTGGCTCTGCCGCAGATGCCGCTGCTTGCTGCTGCTGCTAATGCTCCGTTCCGAAGGAAGGGCGCTGGCTCAGGCAGATCAAGCAGCAGCTCGCGAATGAAGGGCGGCCACCGGCCAACATCCCTGGCTGCCGGGAGGAAGGGCTTTGGAGCCATACGCATACGCCGCGCATGCATGCTGGTCTTGCAGAAACGGGTTGCAAAAGTATTGGGTGCATCCCGTCGATGCTACTGGCGGAAGCTCGCATGTAAACTACTGTAGAGCCTGCAGCGTGCAGCAGCAAGCAAACTGCAGGCGGCCCTTTGTGTCTCATTCAGCTATGCCGGATGCAGTTTTGCCTACATATGAGGCCCTCGGCAAATCCTCCATTACCGCCCGCATATGCAATGCGATGCGCCCTCGTCCGCACATCACCCACGCGAGCATGCGGGCCTCGTCCCTGGAGAAGCCAATAGGCCGAATTATCTGTTTTTTTGGAGCCGCCGGCCGGTTTTTTGCACCTCGAGCACCTTTGGGAGCTTTTTTGATCACGGTGTGCAAATGCCCGACGACTCGGATGTTAGAGAGATTGAATTGAATTGATTCTGGGACTTGCCCTTATTAGCCTGGTGCAAGAACGCCGTGAATAGAGTTTGATTACACACTGCTGGATCGGCGCGCCATAGACAGACAGTCTCTCCAAAACCACCAATTGGCATCCATTTGAGGCCAGACACAGACGCAAAACAAAAACACCCGATCAAACACCCGACCAAAACCCGACCCTTGGAAACCTGGAAGCCATACTCCGTACACAAACCGCTCAAAAACTGGCCCAACCCAACAAACCCAATTGCGGCCTAGCCAGCCCGCGTCCTGAAAGGCCGCTCGCCAGAATCTTCCGGCTCCACCCCGCCGAGTCTCCCTGAAAACTCTATTTAATGGGCTTTGCTGGGCCAGGGGACGTGGGAGGGTCTTAAATAGCGGCAACAACGTGGCTCCAGTTACGTGGTGCGTGGGCAGCGGAAAAAGAGGGAACCCGCACGCTTTGGCTTTTCATCGCTACTTCGTGGGTGTGTTTTTTTAACTTCCATTGGAAAAAATCCATCTTTTTTGTGTTGCCTGTTCTGTTTGCTGGCACTGGCAAGTTGGTAGTAGTTTCGAACTCTGTCGGCTAGGTCGCGAAGAGGGGATGCCCAAGCGAGCGAGTGCGTTGTTTTCTTGTCACCTTCTTCTTTTCTCCTTCGCTCCCTTTTTCCTTTTTCCCTTTGGCTCTCTGGCTTTTGGCTTTGGACTTTTTTTTTTTGTGCAAGTGCCATGTGAGAATGGACTCCGTTATCCGCTTTTCCGCTTCATCTCACTTCTCCTTCTTCTCCTTCTTCTCCCCCATCTCCATCTCCCCCTCCCCCTCCCCTGATAAACCGCAGCCGGGAGCCGATTCCCGTACAATTGCCCGGGGCCGTAGTTGATGGCGTCTAGGCTTCCCACGTCGTCTCATCAAACTGGGGACGCAACGAGCAAGTGGGAAAAATCCCGCTCTGTGACATCTGTCTGGATTGACAGCGAAAAGAGGCAACTAGCTTCCGCTGTGATTCGTGATGCCCTGTGAAGTAATAACAACGTGGCTTGTGGGTTCCCAACCACACACACTGTTGCAGAGCAGCATGTCACTCATGAGGGTTGTTTATGGGGAAAACGCATCATCACAATCACCTTACCAAAGTGCTCTGATGTCTGTCTGACTGCCTTAACCTCACGACTAAACTACCTAACTAAACATCCCATACTATACTACCTCCATAACCTACTATTTCACAACTACCTCCAACCTTGTCAAAGTTCCCCACCTCTTTAGCAGTCTCAGACTCCATCGTCGAAAATCACCGAAAAGCCAAAAATGTGCCAGTCGGCGATTACAAGGTGGACGGGGACGCCTCCCCATTACCAATCTTCGTCTTGTCTTCTTTTCTCCTCTACGTGGTTTCCACAAAGGGCAAATTCCCAGAACGTGTCAAAGGACAACAAAAATGAAATAAAATGAAATAAAAAAAGACTCACCCGCGTTTTCTGCATTGTCCGATCTTCCCGTTCTGAGTAATTGCTGTTTCTTCATCATTTCATTCGTATAATACCCCAAGTTGGGAAAACGAGCCCGATCTGTATCGTATGGCTACCCCCCCTTCTTCTTCTCCTTCTAATGTTGTGCGCGACTCATGTTCTGAACTTTCTATTAGAATTTTTTGTTCTAGAAGGGCTGATTTACACGCACTATGGGTTGTTTGCTCCTGGGGCGACGCCGCCTCGTTTTGCTAAAAGGCCCTTGGAGAGAGATTACAACTGCTCTCTGCCCACCGAAAGGTAGGGCGGGCCCAGCTTTGGCCGCTTGTCAAAAAGAAAAAAACTGGTCTGAAAGCTAAAACGCACGTTTTAGAGGAGGGGCGAGGCGTTTTTCGAGCGTCTTCGTTCGCCCCGGCTTTGTCACCATGGTCATGGTAGGGGGGGCTTGGGGGGAATGGAGAACACCAAGAAACGCCGCACGGCGTCCAATTTCCTTGTCTCTTCTCTGGAAGAGAGAGAGAGAGCGAGGGCCTTGTCACTGTGTCCGCTGGGGACACACCCCCCTCAATTTCTGCCAACTAATGAGGAACAAAGGGTTGAGACCAGTTGCCCACCACGCTGAAAAGATAGCCAGACGCTGGTGTTTCTCATGTTGACGCTGGTGTTCCTCCTTGTGACGCTGTGTGTGTGTCGGCCCGAGACTCCCTGATTTGCCCATTCGCAGAAATCTCCTTGAAGAAGGGGGGGTACGGAGACGGCAGTGAGCTCGATACAGGCCCGGAGAAAGCTGCGGACTCTTGTCCGTACCCCTATCGAGACACGTCAACGTCGCCCGCGGAATTGCAGCTCTGGGTCGATGTCCCTTGTCTCGCCACTTTTTTATTTGCTTATGCAATTTCTCATGGATCTTAAGCTTTTTGAGTTTCCTTCCATTCAAACGTCTTTTTTTCTTGCTGGCTCTCTCTCCCCCTTCCAGCTCAGCTCTTTTCTCTGTTCCCACCCCAGGTTTTATAATCACCCACCCATTCCATTCCAGAGAGACGGGAAGAGAGGGAGAGAAAACGTGACAACCCCGGACCGCTGGGACGGACGCGGCGTTTTTCTTTCCCTTTTTCCCTTATTACCTACCTACCTAACCAATGGTAGTGTCTCTTCTGGCTTTTGGCGCCGAGTTGGTTGACGTGGTACGTCAAGTTTTTTTCTGATTACCGATGACAGCTACTTAACTGGTCTTGGCTAGATTTCCGCTCGAAGAAATCGGTGCTAAGCAGGTTGGTAGCTTTTTTGCGGCTTCGACACAGAAAAAAAAAAGGGGGGGGGGGGGGGCTGAAGTTGGATGGTGTTGTCGGCTTTTAAGACTTGACTTACGGCCTTTTAAGCTTGTAGAAGCCGCTGGCGGTGTCTTTGTTCGTCGGCCTTTGTCCGTTGCACTACTGCGCGCTTCTGCTTCTGGCGCTATCCGCCGTTGAAAGCTGCCCAAGGCCCAAATGTGATATCGGGAATCAAGATACGAGCAGCCGAATAGCCGTACAGAGAGACTGAGAAAGTGAAAGAAAGTGAGAGAACTGGCCCCCATCTCTTAGTAGTTTTGAGGCGTGCTTCGTAGACTTAGTATTGTGCAGAGTTGTTGGTTGGTCCATTCTCTCATTGCCAATAAATGTGGTTGTGCGGGCGCAAGCGGGCTCATTGTGAGTTTGTGTGTACTCGTATCGTTATTCTATGGTATGGAGAGTCTCTGTCTGTCAATCAAGAACATCATGTTCTCTGTCTAAGCTTTTTTGGTTGTCTCTGCCATGTCTCTGTCATGTCTGTACTCTTCCAGCCTAATATTTGCCAAAACCTGTCTAGATGTATAGTAGTGCGATCCGTACGCCCGTGTCTAACTGCACCACTGCGCCCTCCCCCCAGCAAACGTTGATAATAGTATTACAAAATTCATACAGCCAGGTAGAATAGCATGCTTACTTGCAGATCTCAAATGCCAATCTCGGCTTCCTTCGGGTTGTCTGTCATTTATGACCGTGGGGTCCGTTTGCCAATATTCCAACCCCATCCACGAAGCACCTTGACCACCTTGGGCGTTACCGCCGCTGTCAAGGGCACCCGAAGGAAGATGAAGCTCTTGTGGATGGCGTACGCCAGTGCCAGCTGCGTTGCCAGGCCTGCCAAACAAAAAAACCTCATTAGCTTCCTGTGTCTCATATCATGCCATACTGTGCCCTCTTCGGTTGCTGCAAGTTACACGCCTCAAAAAGCAGTCGGGCATAGTCCGATGACGTGGAGTCGTGCAAGACATTGCCAACGCAACAAGACATTCTCGGGAAAGGGGCGGCCGTTCAAACTCACTGGCTTCTTCTTTGTTGCGCTGTTGCGCCTTCTCGACTCCCCAGCCTGCCATTTCCACTTTGTCGCTGATATCGTTGCTGCCCAGGTGCTGCTTCTCTTCCGACTTCAGAGATTCTCGCCATTCGTTCCATCGTGTTCGCACCGATTCGGGGATAAACTTGGAGACGGCGGACACGACGTAATGTTCGACTTGACCTGTTTGCCATCCCCACGCTCACATCAGCATACTCATACTCATACTCATACTCATACTCATATCTAAACTCCTCTAGCAAAGCATCGACGACTGAGAGGCACACGTACCTATCCGCTCTGTCCCGACCACCCTCACCAGGAGGAAGCAGAACGGAAAGTCCAGCACGCTGAGCGCAAAGTAGACGCCGACGGCCGACCAACCGTACTCCCTAGAGAGCTTCTTGAATCTCCCGCTAAGCGACAGCTTCTCCTCGGCTCCTTGCGCAGTGTTGCGCCTCCATGCCGAAAACATAAAGCTCCGCCTTTGCGCCCCCCTCGCAAAGCTGTCAGCTATCCTGACATTTGGTCGCATCGAAGCGCTGTGGCGCGTGGTTCCCCGCCAGGGCTGAATTGAATGTAACCTCGTCCATGATGTGCTGCTGCTGTTGCTCTGGGCCTTCGTGACAGGCTGTGACGAAAATAGCCTTGCCCAAGCATCCCTCAATGCTCCATATTGTGCCGTCGTGCCCTTGGCCGCCCCAAACGGTGTCGCTCTCGATTGAAACGCTGCTCGAATCATTTCGTAGGATGCAGTGAGTGCAGAGGCTCCTCTTCTTCCTCTTTACCCAACGTAGGTGTTGATATCGAATTTCGCTCCGTTCGTGAAAGGCAAAAGAATGACAAAGGACTCTGGAATGCTCGCCGAACCTCGCAGAAGGAATCACCGGTGAGATGGAGATAGCGGAGCCTCGGAGCTGCAAGAGTCCGCACCGGCAGCAATTTCGTATGCCGTGCAGCTCAAGCCGGAATTGCCGAGAAAAATGCGTGTGTACGAGTACGATGCCGAGAGCGCAGCAATTGCAATTGCTCCCCAAGACGTAAATAAATATGAAGAGCAACAAAGGAAAAAGAGGACACTCAATCGAAAAGCCCGCTTTGGCCTCCTGGGCAAACAATGATATTGCTTTGTTGGGGCTGGTGGGGTGATCAAAGCATGAGGTAGCTGCAGCTGGGATTTTTTTCTTAGCCTTCTAAATTTTTTTTCTCTTGCTAGGGCTGTTCCGACATTTCTCTGCACCGTCAGGTCACGATGATGTAAAAACACGGCTCTCCCCGATCCGGGTCCATCAAAGGATCGGGACAGGGATGAGGCGCGCTAGCAGGGCTGATGATGCATATCACGTGCTGAAACTCTGGGCGACGACGTTGAAGATGGAGAGGAAGCTGTAAAAGCATTGATTGAGAACGAATATAGGCAGAATATTTATTTCTGGTTAGCTTTGAAGAGAATTATATATCATACGTCCCTTCTTTGGTTGACTGATGATGCATATCGCATGGCTTTGATATCCACTCTTACTCAGACCTACATGCGTCAAAGATGATGGTTCCTGACTTGGTAGAGTAGTCGCTCGGTAGATGTACCTGTGTATAAGAAAATGAGAAGATTTATTTTAGTTAATAATACTCTTCAAATCACTTTCTTTCCTGTTTTTCCATTGAAGTTGTAGATGCTTTTGGCGAAGTGTAGATGCAGCAGCCTTGCAACATACCAAGAGCATCCTGCATCACAACGAATACCTTTCGACTGCTGATATCGGATTCTTGTTTGAAGATGCATATAACTCAATCAAATCTACATATTTATGATCATAGTATCAGATACAGAACTTCAGTACATATATGATGCATTGGGTAACCTCGTAAGCTTGCAGTCCATCAGCATCGAATAATATGACCTATCATGCGCACTACCACCAAAAGTGAGCCATGCTCTTAATATAAACTCCCGTCCATCTCACACATCCAATAATTGTAAACGTGTTTCTAGTTGCAGCCTAATCGTTTGATGCAGTGATTCAGGGACATGGTGTCAGTGGCTCCTGCCACATGTTCAGTGGCATCCTCCCCCTGAACAGCTGTTCGTCACCTGCCAAGTCCTCCAACATCAGGCCAGTCACTCCCTAAAGGCTTCTGTGAATTTAATTCTGCCGCATTGCACCATAAAGGTGCATAAATATGTACGTTTCCTCTTCTCACCGACATCGGCGCCTTTTTTTCTTCCTCCTTATCCTGTTCTTCCTCTCCAAAACATGGGCTCCTAACACTCTGCCCTCTCTCGAGCAGCAACACAACGCCCATCTTCTGTACCTGCGCTCTTCCTATCCTACAAGACAAGATTTCGCTTGCGCCTCGCATCGCATCGCCTCTGGGACATGAAATCTCCCAGCTTCGCCGACCGCCCTGACCATATGTATGATCCTGGTGGCCAGCCTTAGGGTTTCCAGAGGTTGCTCCCCCTACGAAGATCTGGCTTCATGATCTGTCCTCGATCATCCAAATCTTACTTCATCACTTGGAAATTTTTGATTCCGAACCACGCCATTCACTATTATTTTTCCCATTCCACTCGTTTGACTGACTGACTCCAATTCACTCGTTTTTCCTTCGTCGTTCTTTTCGTCACTCATTTTTCGTTTGTCTTGTTTTTTAAGCCATTTGGCCTTCTGTTACTGGCTCATTCACTTCATCTTTTGTTCCTCTTCTTGTCCTTCCGGCTTTGAAATGGCGCCCCCGCTTCGAACCTATGGGAAGAAGAAAAGTTTGCTTGGTCCCTTGGGCTCCCGACATCGTTCCAAGGCCTCGGCCGATTTCCTTCCAGCAAAGAACCCCGGTAAGCTATTTCTTTTATATAATATTTAATAAGAGGCGAAACTAACTTGGGAACAGATCTTGGTTCACAATCTGTGAACCCCTGCTCCGATACTGCGAAGCGACACTCTCGGACGCAGAGTAATGTCCAACCAACCAGCATTGAGGAAATTGCGAGCGCCTTACTCGATGACAGCAGATCAGAGCTGCCAGCGGAAGGGGATGCCAAGGGACAGTTAGAAAAGGACGATCCTGACTGTACAACTTCTATTCCACCAGTTCGCGAAGACTCTACACCAGAGGTTGGAGAACAACCCATCATCTCGCATTCGCCAAAGTCGTTAAAGGAAGGATCGACTAGCAATAGTCGAGCACCCCGGCCGAGTGCTCCGAGAATTCAGAAAATGTCTCCCAACAATAGGTTTGCAAAGTCCTCACGGCCTCGTGGAAACTCAACTTCATCTCCTAAACGGAAAGACTACAGCTTGATCCGCCCCCTTGCGGACTCTGTGAAAAAGTCGACCCATCGTTCTCCGTACCCAATTGTGAAAGATGCCGAAGCAGTCTGCCTTCTTCCACACAACGTCATGGACGGAACTCCAAGAATTCTCTTGCAAAGTGAATTGGCCGGTCGAGGCCGCGCTGCGGCGACTAGTGCCGATGAGATTCAGGAGAAAGTATGTGCCATGTTGGCGGCAACGGACGCTCTAAAGCCATCCCCTGCTCAGCCGAGAAAGTCGCCTGTTTCCAAGATGACTCGCATGACTCCATCAAGAGTGTTGGCCAAAGTATCCAGTGCATGGGATCGATGGCAGGTTAAATCGTCTAGCGGAGGAGCAAAACCGCGTGTCAAGCTCACGAAGCAGCCCGTTCAAGAAGACTCCCCTAATGGCCCATTGACTTCCCACCCCGTATTTGTATCTCCTGCCCTCAAAAGAGCGTCTTTAATCGACACGATTGAGATTCGTCTAAATGAAGGCGATAATCTCAATAGAAAGAAGGTGCAGCAGATGGTGGGTGGTCGTGTAGCTCGCAAACCTGTGGCCAATGACGGAAAGGCCCTCAGGAGCGGCCGATCCATGGACGATGACCCCTTTGCTGAGCCCGCTCTATATCATAGCCCCAGTGCTATTGAAAGACACCAACATTTGAAGATTATGGTTGGATCCAATACAGCGTCTCTGCTCATCATCGACCCTTTTGAAGCCGAAAAGGGATTCGAGAACAACCTCGAAGATAGGATCTTGAGTTCTTCCCCAGTCTGTGCATCCACGCCTCGGATTCATCTCCATAGGGTTCAAACTCCCACTCTTGAGGATAGTCTCGACGAACAGTGCTCCAAGCTGCCGACTCAGATTAGCCTAGAGAAGGGGACCACTGACTTGACCATATACCAATCTCAAGAAGCCATATCTTTCAAGAAATCCCCGAACCAAAATGGGCAGATGAGGGCGCTGCCAAACACCGATCGTATCGCCGTTGGCTTGATACGAGACGGGCCTTCCCTCGATACGTGCAGCGCAAAATGGTCAAAGAAGCACCCATCTCCGAGCAAGAGGGATCTGGAACAGCTTGAGATAGCCTTTCGATGCTATAGCGAGCTCAAAAGACGTGGGATAGGTGAAGAAGCTGATGAACTCGCGGCGCACTATACGCCCTCCACTCGATACTTGTCCCCTCGAGATACGAACAGGATGATGAAGGCTCGTGAAGAAGGTGCCAAATCCATGTCTGGCAGTGAATCCCAGTCTCCCGCCAAATCGCAGATACGACGCCCGACTGATGACCTAAGACGTCATCATCAAATTCGCCTTGCTCCTGTTTACCGACCAACGATTCCGCAATCCGATGAGGTTGACGAATTGCAGTGAATCTCTAGATTGAAGTCATTTCTTTGGGGAAAGGGGGGGGGGATTGGAATTGCAACTCGTTCAAAAAATAGAAAATGCTACAAAAAAATGGGATTGGGACGGGAAAAGTACACAAGGATTTGCAATAGACCCAGTGAGATGACAGGGCATTCAGAATGGCTTCTACGCATAGGTTCGTCTAGAAACTGTGCATTCAACGGTGCTCGCACAGGAGCCACAACTACAGTTGGCTTTGACAGAGTATAATAGACAGGAGTTACAGGGAAATAATCGGCATGAATTTGATGTTCTCAGAAATATCAAGGTAATTATTCAATAGATATTATTAATTTAAAGAAAAATGAGTGTGAGGCGTTGCAGCTATCCTCTATATGGGTATCATTCTGTGCCATCATCATTTCGTGTAGTTGAAAACGTCATTACAAAAAGCGTCTGCGACGGTTGTGTGATCCACGACCATCTGTGCCACGCATTCTGCGAGTTCCGGCCGCCTAAGATTTGCATTTATGTTAGCCATCAAGTCTTTTCTTCTCTAACTGTCACATGTTGGTGAGAAATGTAAGAGATGTTGGTCATACCTTTACACCTGGACGGCGAGTCAAGCTTCCCCTCAATTTGAGGAGAGCGCCGCTGACTTTGTCCTTGAGCGTGGGCTTGCGCTGGTGATGCACGCGAGGAGTTCGAGGAGTTCGGCGGGAGAAGATGCTGCGGCGGTAGGGCCGGGCAGTAGTGGTGGTTGTTGTGTGGTGATGGCGACGGTGGGTTGTGAAAGGCATGATGGGGGTTTGTTTTGTTTTTTTGTATAAGTGGTTTGTTTATCTTGGTATTTGGTTTCTTTTGTGTTGTGTGTGGTTTATATGGTTATGATGGGATGAAAGATTGGCATCATGGAGGGAAAGAAGGGGATTTATATATCTGATTTGAAGCCATCTTTTACACGGGGACGATGGGTCGATAATGTGATGCAAGTCATTGTGGAGGGTACCCTGCAGGACCAAAATCGACGATCGCAACGTAATCGATGCGTTACGTGTAATCGTGCCATATAAATGAAAACAAGGTAATATAGTTTGTATTATGGTTGGGCAGCTACACGATGGCTTGAATGTGTGCAAACAATGCCTTGGCGATCTATTAAAAGATGCTTGGAGTCCGTCATTCTACGTCACCTTGTTGGGCGACATTCAATCAGGATGCTGGGATCGTCGTTGGACCCTGTGGCTAAGGACGTCATCTGTGGCGCTGGTGGAGGGTGGGTGTGGCTGGTGGTGCGTCACTGAGGGGACTTGGGATCGAGATCAAGCAGCTTGAGAGTTGGATTCTAGGCTTTCCTGCATTGGGAAATTTGAAAGCTTCAAGATTCTCAGCTTTAATTTAGCTGGTTAGAAGGAAATGGAATTTGGATATCCAACAAGAGTGAGTTTGAAGGTCGCGGTATAGCTATTGTAGATGAACTATCGATACACGCCACACGACCATAGGAGATGGTATCTTAGTGATTTCTTTATTTGACAATATCCATACATACACATCTCATCATTATTGTCAGAACTCTCAACGGTCGTTCTCTCAAAAGCTAAATATGTTGCTCTTCTAGCCCTTGTTCCATCATATTCCTAATCCACTAGACATGCACAATCTCAAACGCAGGGGGAATTGAATGTAAGAAGTAAAAGGCACCTCAGCGCCTTATTGTATTCTCCCACCCAAGGAGTTATAAAAAAAAAGCAGGCATTCTGTGTCATAAAACTAGATAATACTCTCGAGTACCTTGTGTATAGCATGCCTCCTTGCTTTTTCGTTTCTTTCCTCCCCCATTTCTCCCCCATGTCATTTCTTCCTCCACCGTTTAGTTTATTTATTGTACAGCATCGATGAGACCAGATGAACATGAATCAATTAGCCAAACGCCGCCCAATGACAGAAATTTGTCAAGTCATTTCTCTTTACGTCTTTTCCCACTTCACTCTGAACCCGGTTTTGTCCCTCCGTACCTTCTTCCCCTCATCTCATTTATTCCTCCGCGCGGCCTTTTACGAGGCCTTACCATTAGTGCTAGTGTTGAGTTCGCCGCCCAACAGGGGCGCGGACAGATTCATAGGAGGAATGGCATTCTCTGCCTGCTCCTTGATGTGCTGGGCTTGAGCCGCTTCCAGAGCGGTGCGTTCCCATTCCGTCAGGCGATTCTTTTCAATGTATTGTGTGAGGAGCTTGTCCTCGTGATGCATGGCGTCAATCAGCTTTGACCTCATGCCCGCCTCAAAGTCACGGAAACGGCTGTCGAGATGCTCTGAAAAGGCACCAAGAGCATCTTGAGGCGACATGGGCTTGAAGACACTGTGGGCATTCTCTGCAAGGTTGCGTTAGCTTTCTTCTTGTACTTGTCTTCTTGATTCCACTCACGGTATTGAATGCAGTCTGAAAGCATGGCATATAGCTCAGTGCTTGCCAGTCTCTCCACCACTTCCTTGTCATCCTTCAACTGCGTGTCGTTGATCTTTGACCAGTCATCCCGGATGAAGAGCCTCCTCCAGATGAGCCGTTTAGCGTCTCGAAGTTCATCGCCGTGGCAACTGCTCTCGGCCACCTTAAGAGCCAACCAAAACGGATGTGCTATTTCTTCTCGGGATTCTTGTGTGAGCTCCACGAGAGTCAACAGGTCAATCAGCGTCATGGCATCAAGAGCTTCATGCTTAAGCAATCTTTCCATGCCATCCTCGAAAACCTGCCGCAGGGCCTTCTGGCGTTTGGGCACATTTGCACCGTGGGCCTCCATGGCAAGATTCAAAGCGGCTGCTTCGTCAACGGCGTCGTAAGTACTGGGGAAAATCTGAGCGTAGAGCTGATCTTGGATCTTAACCGTAATGAGCTCCTTGTCAACCTGCGCCAGTTTCTGCTCAAGTCGAAGGTCTGTCTTTGGCTTGGAGCTCGAAGGCGGCGACGTCTTCTCTAACTTCTCTATCTCAGCCAACAAGGCCAATTTTCCAAGGCTGAGCTCGATTTTCTTGCTCCACACTTGGTGCTCCTTTTCAAGAGCGAGATGGATTAGCGTCTCTGCAGCATGACCGACCTGCTGTTCTTGCTGAATGTCATTGATCCATGATATCCGTGCCAATTCGGGCCTACTGCGAAGGAACCGGGTCTTGTAGCCCAATGTCTCGAGCCCAAACGCCAACACAGCATCAACTCCGTGCTTTTCGAGCATATACTCGTAAACGGGGAAGGCGAATTCTTGGCCATATCGGGTGAACCTTTCTTCTAGCTCTGCTTCCTTTCTCTTCTTCAAAACCCTCAAGTTTTGTGACTCGAAAGTAGTCAGTGTGGGCTCGCTGAGTATCAGCTCTAATTCCTCGATATGATCAAGTAGGATAACTGCTAGGCCATCTAGGCAGCCATGCTTCTCGGCGATAGTAGCTCCTTCTTCCCATTTACCTGCTCGTCCAAGGCTGATGGGTCTGTTATACCTTTCTTTTTGATATTCCTTGGCAAAAGTTTGGCCCATGGATTTCTGGTCCGGTGTCGTCTCAGCCCATCGAGCATATTCCAGAATAGAAGTGAGCATGCCGTCAATGGCCGATGGGAGATCCTTGTAAATCTTGGAAATGATCGCAGGGTCCGGTTTGCCTGATGGCTTAGCTTTTTCATCCGCGGCTTTTGACCATTTCTGATACCATTGATCCGAGAGCTCAACCAAGCGCGCGACGTTGTTGGCAACGTAATGGCATCCTGTCCATGGCTCAGGGAGGCCGTCGTATCCATCACGCAAGATGCCCATTCTCAACTTCTCGTCACCCAGCCCGTAGAACGCAAGGTTGTTTTTGCGGAATTCCAGAGCTCCAAGCAGAGCGCATATGTTAATCTGAAGCGCTTCGGAAATCATCATCGTCACCTTGGCGTCATCCAGTAGCTTATCCTTGTACAAGATCTTAATAACCTCGTATGCCCATGCCACGAAGAGTTCAAGACGGAATATGTCGTTGATGAACCAGTGTCGAATACGATCAACTTCGCCAATTTCAGCGCTAGGGTTGTGCTTTTGGTCCTGATGAATGAATTCAACAATGTATCCGATCAAGCTCTTCTTGCTGTCGGACGGGCGCGCTGCAACGAAAGCCTCCTGTCGTTTCCAAAGGAGCGTCGCTACGTGCATTTTTTCAGCATTGTATAACAGACTCCAGCGGGTTCTGCGGTCCAGGTGGGTACCAGTAGCCTTTAGGTGAAGGATAAGCTTCTCCAAAGCATTCGAGCGTGCAACAAGATTTTCTTCCAGTGACGCAGGCAAGGTAGACATATATGCGGTAGTCGAACTCAGAATCTCGTTGCTGACCTCTTGTGCCGCCTGCGCGATTTCATCCTTTGAAAACGTAACTTCCTGGCGGGCATTGAAAACCAGAGGGTTGTTCTTCTTAGTGCCAAAGAAGACAGCCTGTTCCAGTTTGCCCTTGGCGGAAATTTGTGGAGGTTGATCGCTTGCGAATTTGTCCACATCCGTTGTCGCAATACGGACGATTCCGGCTCCACGAACCATCAGCACCACGGCTGGGTTTTTACTCTTGGCGCGAGCAGCCCGACTTTCCTCGCTGGAAGACGACACATGCGACATTTCTTCGAATCCAGATCCAATAACCTCATGCACATTATCTTCACGAAAGTCGATGACATCCTCAAATGAAGGAGATAGGGTGTGTGTGTCGGTTTGAAGTTGGGCATCAGGAGACTCTGGTGACACTGCAATAGACGCTATTACCGCAGCACGGTCGAATACTGCGAAAGCCACGAGTGCAGGACGTGGCAGATAGAGCCGCGGCCTTACAGCCTGGATAGAATCCACCTGGGGAACTGGTGTAGTGTAGGAGGTAATTGGTCGAATCATGCCTACTTGGAATCTCCTCTGCGTTAAAATCACCTCCACGAGGGCGTAACGGGAGACGGCCCGACTAGTCAAGCTGACAAGCAGTAGCAATTGCTGAACAGATGGATCATCCGTAGATGTAGCGGCGCTGAGCTTGCTAAGATCTAGGTATTTGTGTTCCAGGCCTCTCGGAACGAAAGTAAAGTCGAGAGCTTCGAAGGAGTCGGCTGGAAGGTCGCGGCAGAAAGGGTCGACTTCCCAGAGCGCTGATATGATGGACTCTCGGGCATCAAATTCGCCAAACGGTTCACTGTGGCCTCCGCGGTGAACATTCCATGACTGCAGCTTGCCCTTGTTTGTCATGGCAACAATATTCTTTTCACCAACTCTTGTGGATCTATCAGCCCGGACAGCTGCAATATCCCCTTTAAGGCTTAGGTGCGAAAAGGCAGAGCGAATGGTACCGAATATGCCGCTGGTAGAAGTCGAAAGATTGCTTCGCAAAAACTGAACAGAAATTGCCGGTCGTCCGTGGCTGTCTCGCACGTTCATGTAGGCCAAGCGCCCACTGTTGAAGGTTAGGAGGAATCCAGCGGTCTCTGCATTAGTGATGGCAACCACTTTTTCGCCCGAGGACATTCCAGAAATCTGATACTCGACGCCGGACCTGTCTTTCTTGATGAAGGCGAACGTAGCAGCGCTAGAGATAGACTCCCAAAAGACGACCTTGCCAGTGCTAGCCATAACAACAACCAGTCCAGGTTCGGTTGATGATGCAGAGGGAGAGACGAGGCATCCCACCGGGAGTGCATCGTTGGGCTTCGAGGAGGACGGAAGAGTGAAGGTGAAGGTCTCGGGGGATTGCGAAGTCGAATTGTAGGGCCAAACAACAGCATGTGTAGGTGTTAGTGTCAAGGCATAGCC